TTAATATATATTTTTAACTGCCGCTATATCTGAATTGTCTTTGTTATACCCAATTGCAATTCAATGTATTCCTGTTGTGTTTTATGATTTTCCTGATATCGTAAGTGAGCCGGAACTGGTCTGTGACCGTAATAATATAATTCATTCCTCCTCACCCTCTTTCTCCTCCCCTGTTCATGCAGCTCACTGCTCCCCCACCCCCGATCCGGGTGCGAGTTCGGGTGCAAGACAACGTCTTCCTCATCCCCGTGCCCCACAGGTGAGAGAACTGGGGCCCCTTTCCCCTTTCCTCCTTCACTGAGCTGCCTTATTGGAGCTCTGGGTCTAAGCCAGACCTTGTCTTTGTGGAGGCAGCTTCAAAACTCTCCACATAAGCACCGTGGGAAGCGTCCAGTGCCAGATTTACATATAAGCTAAACAAGCTATAGTTTGGGCCCCACACTCTTGAGCCCCCCCCAAAAAATTAAATGAAAAAATTAATAATATTAATATAAAAAAGGTAAAGGGACCCCTGACCATTAGATCCAGTCGTGGCCGACTCTGGGGTTGCAACACTCATCTCGCTTTACTGGCCAAGGAAGCCGGCGTACAGCTTCCGGGTCATTTGGCCAGCATGACTAAGCCGCTTCTGGCAAACCAGAGCAGCGCACAGAAACGTCGTTTACCTTCCCACCATGTTGTTGTTGTTTAGTTGTTTAGTCGTGTCCGACTCTTCATGACCCCCTAGACCAGAGCACGCCAGGCCCTCCTGTCTTCCACTGCCTCCCTCATGCTGGTAGCTTCGAGAACACTGTCCAACCATCTCGTCCTCCATCGTCCCCTTCTCCTTGTGCCCTCCATCTTTCCCAACATCAGGGTCTTTTCCAGGGAGTCTTCTCTTCTCATGAGGTGGCCAAAGTCTTGGAGCCTCAGCTTCACGATCTGTCCTTCCAGTGAGCACTCAGGGCTGATTTCCTTCAGAATGGAGAGGTTTGATCTTCTTGCAGTCCATGGGACTCTCAAGAGTCTTCTCCAGCACCAGAATTCAAAAGCATCAATTATTCAGCGATCAGCCTTCTTTATGGTCCAGCTCCTCCCCACCATAGCGGTACCTATTTATCTACTTGCACTTTGACGTACTTTCGAACTGCTAGGTTGGCAGGAGCAGGGACCGAACAACGGGAGCTCAACCCGTTGTGGGGATTCGAACCGCCGACCTTCTTATTGGCAAGTCCTAGGCTCTGTGGTTTAACCCACAGCGCCACCCCGCGTCCCAGTAATATTAATATACTTTTTCTTAATTGTACGGTGGACGCTCAGGTTGCAAACGTGATCCGTGCGGGATGCACGTTCGCAACTCGCAGCGTTCGCAACCCGCGTCTGCACACATGCGGGTTGCGATCAGCGCTTCTGCGCACGCGGAAAGCGCTATTTAAGCACTTCTGTGCATGCACAACCGCCGAAACCTGTAAGTAATCCATTCCGGTACTTCCAGATTTCGGCTGTCCGCAACCCAAAAAAACACAACCTGAAGCAGCTGTAACCCGAGGTATGACTGTATTTCAGTTCAACAACTGCTTTAATAAAATACATGTTTTGTGATGTGCAAATGGCTTTAGATACCCATTAGGTCCATAAATATAGCATATATTCAAAACAAAAAATAGCGACAATTTGTTGTTGACACAGGACACCTGGACATAAAAGGACCCTATTACCTTCAAGAGCTGAGGGCCTCATCAAACCTAAATCTGGCCCTGGAAACATCTGTAATTGGGGAGGCCGGGGGCAGGATATTTCTGCTGTCCTCAAACCACCCCCAAATAATATTTCCCTCTGCACTGTTTGGATGAGAGCTGCATGGCAGGAGACTGAATCCTTGCCGGAGGTGGGGCTTTTCAGAGCCCCCACTGCATGCCCCCCCCCAGGAATATAGGGAGGGGGGGTGTCTTCCTACTCCAGCCCCTCTCCTCCTTCCTTGCAGCGAGAGTCGCCCTGTGTCCTGGCTGGCGGATCAGGCCTCCCAGCGCTACTACCAGACCTGCGGGCTCCTGCCACGCCTGACCCTGAAGAAGGAGGGGGCCCTCCTGGCCCCCCAGGACTGCATCGTGGATGTTTTGCAGAGCAACGAAGAGGTGAGCGGTCACTGCCAGCTGAGGGAGAAATTCATATCGCTTCTCCCCATAGCCCCATTCCTCAGCTGCTGGCAGGGGAGTCTGTCTGGGGGGTGACGGGGAGCAGACCACCCGTTTTGCAGGCACAATGTCCTCAGTTGAATCTTCCACGGAGGACGAGGGGAGACGTCTGCCAGGAATCCTGGGGAGCAGCTGCTTGTCAGTGTGGGCAGCACTGAAGGGCATGGCCCAGTGGTCGGACTTTGCAGGAGCCAGATTCCTGTGCTCTTGTTAAGGGCTGTTCTGAGGCGTTTGTAGGTTCTAATGGCAAGGAAGCAGGTTAATATCTCCCCTGAGAAACTGAGATACGAAAGCCAGGAGCTAAATGGCACCTTAAACCGAGGTTACGGGCACAACCACGGAATGTTTGGGAAACGTTTATTGAATATATGGGAAATAATTGTGTACAGCTGAAAATGTTAGCAGCGTTGAGATACATTCAGCAGTGTAAATAAGTTTTAGTGGATGCAATAATGGAATACTGAATGGTATAGTTTTTGTAACAATACGCAGGGATTTATGATAAGCGTTGGAAAGAGAAGAAGGGAAGTCATTGATACCTTAAGGATAAATGAGCACTTTAAATTATGAAATATAAAATTATATATATATATATATACACACACACACACACACACTCACACACGGGGGATGTGGGTGGTGTTGTGGGTTAAACCACAGAGCCTAGGACTTGCCGATCAGAAGGTCGGCGGTTCGAATCCCCGCAATGGGGTGAGCTCCCGCTGCTCAGTCCCTGCTCCTGACAACCTAGCAGTTTGAAAGCACGTCAAAGTGCAAGTAGATAAATAGGTACTGCTCCGGCGGGAAGGTAAACGGCGTTTCCATGCGCTGCTCTGGTTCGCCAGAAGCGGCTTAGTCATGCTGGCCACATGACCTGTCTGGCCACAAAAACTCTGCGGACAAATGCAGGCTCCCTCGGCCAGTAAAGCAAGATGAGCGCCGCAACCCCAGAGTTGTCCGCGACTGGACCTAACGGTCAGGGGTCCCTTTACCTTTATATATATATAAAAATAAAAGAAAAAGGTGTTCCCATTGGAGTTCCACCTTCCTTGGGCCCCAGCTGACCCCCCTGCTGACCTCTCTTTCTCTCTCTCTCTCTCTCTCTCCCCCCCCCCCGTCAGGTCTTGGCCGAAGTGCAGTCCTGGGACCTGCCGCCCCTTGTGGAGAGGTACCGCAAGGCCTGCCAGAGCCTGGCTGTGGGTAAGCCCAAGTTCTCCTGCGGAGGGGCCTGGGTGTCGTTGAGTCCCCGGGCGGGGGGGGTGTCCTCAGGAGGCTGCGGACATCTTGCTGATGCTGCTCTGACCCAGTTCAGATGCAGCGCCTTCTGTCCTGTTGGGCTCAGAGAAGGGGCTGCTTCCCAAAGGGGTTTCAAAGAGGAAACTTCCCCTTTTCCGCAAGCCAGTTGCTGTGACGGCTATGCTGGCTTTTCCACAAAATTGTAGCGTTGGAAGGGACCCCGAGGGTCATCTAGTCCAACCCCCTGCAAGGCAGGAATCTTTTGCCCAGCATGGGGCTCGAACCCACGGCGCAGGGAGATTAAGAGTCTCATGCTTTACCCACTGAGCTATTCTGCATCTGTAAAAATATCTGCGTACTGCTATATCATTTTTTTAAAAAACCCCTATCAAAGCCGCTTACAGCAATAGAAGCATAAAACCATACATTGAATTGAATTGAGTTGAATTTTATTATTACCGTCACAGACCAGTTCCGAACCATACATTAAAACCATAAAGAAATCAGACGTCGGTTAACCATTGTGAAAGGCTGCATTCCGAATTGCCTTCACAGGCCTGGCAGAATAGAAATGATTTCAGCAGGCCTGCCGAATCTCTAGTGGCGGGGAGTTCCACAGGACTGGCCCAGTGACACTGAAGGCTTGGTTCGTGAGTCTTTTACCTTGACTGAAGCCTCGTGCCCTGTGTGTGTGTCTCTCTCCCCTCGGCTGGCAGGGGAGCACCGCTTGCTCCTGCAGCTGCTGGAGTGCCAGGAATCGGGTCCGTCCTTCCATGTCCCGGGCCTGGCCCTGCGCCGCCTCCACCTGACGCCTCTCCTCCGTGCCCTCAAGCTGCAGACCTCCATCCGGCGCCTGTGCCTCCCCGGGGCAGGCCTGGGCGACGACTCGGCGGAAGAGCTGCTGGCCACCGTCGCCACCATCCCTGGCCTGGAGGCGCTGGACCTCTCGGCCAACCGGCTGGGCCCCCAGGGGCTGCGCAAGCTGACCGCAGGACTTCCCGGCTCCGTCACTTTCCAGGTAGGGGCGGCAGAGGAGCTGGGAAGCGGGAGGGTGCCCTGTCCTACCTGGAAGGGCTGTGGTTCTTGGGTGGCGAGATGTCGAAGTGTGGCCGAGGATGGAGCCCAAACGACGATGGGAAGAGGGTGGGCAAAGGTTTTCGGGCTTGGGAGTTCCACAAGGCTTCAGATCTTCGCTCGATGAGCAGAGGAGCCGTCTCCATGTGCAAATGCCACGCTTGCACCATGAGGACTAGAAGCCTGGTAAGATAAACAAATATATGGCTTTTAGAAGACATCTGAAGGCAGCCCTGTATTGGGAAGTTTTTAACGTGCGATGTCTCGTTGTGTTTTTCTATTTTGCTGGAAGCTGCCCAGAGTGTCTGGGGCAACCCAGGCAGATGTGGGGCATAGAAATAATAAAAGTACAGTTGTACCTTGGTTCTCGAACAGAATGCATTCCAAGGCGCAGCTTCCACTTGGAGTGTCCTGCAGCCAATTGGAAGCCAAGCTGGACACTCGGCTTCTGAAAAAAATTCGGGAACACTCACTTCCTGGTTTTGATTGTTCGGGAGCATTTGAGATCCAAGGTACAACTGTATTATTATTATTATTATTATTATTATTATTATTATTATTATTATTATTGCTATTGTTGTTGCTATTTTAAAAATAGGAAGCTGAGATTCATGCAGACCTTTCAGGCCCTATGTGAGACATCCCATCTCGGGGTTCTGACTCCTTCTTTCTGCCCTCAATCTGATGACAAGTGGCTTGTATTTTAACAATACAATACAACAGGTTATTGTATTTTAATATTCTTTTGGAAGCCGCCCAGAGTGGCTGGAGAAACCCAGCCAGATGGGCAGGGTATAAATAATAAATTATTATTATTATTATTATATTATTATTATTATTAGCCCTCCCTCTGCCACCGTCTCACTCGAACCCACACCCCTTGTCGTTTCAGAACCTGGAGGAGCTGGACCTCAGCCTGAACCCTTTGGGGGACGGCAGCACCCAGCCCCTTGCGTCCCTGGTCCAGGCCTGCCCGGTCCTGAGCACGCTCCGGCTGCAAGCCTGCGGCTTCACCACCGCCTCCTGCAGTGCCGCCGCCGCGCGCCGGAGCATGATTTCTGTTCTCATCCTGAAGCAGAGTTCTTAACCCAAGGTACTATTTCTGGGTTAGCAGAGTCTGTAACCTGAAGCGTATGTAACCCGAGGTACCACTGTATATAAACCCAAAGCCCCCAGGGCTCAGGGCCCAGGCTCTGGAAATCATTCCTCTGGGTCTCTATTGCTCAGCAATAAATTTTTACTTTCTTTTTCTCCATTACTGTGTCTATTGATTCTTGAGCCTATCTTGAACGGGTAACAGGTATTCCTGATCTCCTTGCAACACTAGCAAGAATAATTCAGAGGTACAGAATATAGAATAACATGAGGCTGGTAGCACATGACATTATAGCATATAAACAACACTACCAAAACAAGGTTGTGCAGAGCTGAGGCATGATCTTAAGAGCCGCTTATCTATCTTCACGTAAGCAAGGTGTGGGAGCAACTTGGGCAGAGAGCTCCTGACTGGTTCAAAAAGTGGTGTTTTTTATGCATTTTGCACATTTTGATATGTATCGGAATTTCTTATTACATGCACCCTTATTAACGTTTGTTCATTTCATAAAAAGTATATACCACTTGATTGTAAAAAAGTCAAAGCAGTTTATAAAAAAGATAAAACAAGAAAATCAAGAAGAATTACACCCCTATTTTAAAATATACAGTACCAAAGTTAAAATACTAAAATAGATTAAATTACCTCAACTTTCTGGGTAGGCTGTCTATACAATTTTTTTAAGCTAAGTTAATTGCTAGCTAGCACAATTAAAAGATGAGAAGAAACATTCCTTCCTAGCTGGTTTTATGGTTTGTTTGTTTTTATTGCTTTATGGTAGCGTAATTTAGCTGGTTTGCACCTCGTATTTAGTATTTTACTATCAGCAGACCAAAGGTTGGTATATGTGTAATCAGTCTTTTCAATCCCATCTATTTTAATCTAGCACCAGGGGAAGTTTGATAATACCACACTCCTGAAGAACATATCCATCCAACGTTCACATGCATTACTTCATGGTGCATTTCATATACAAATGGATGGAACTGAAGAAACTGATTAGCCAAAACAGACTTTCAACTGGTTGTTTTTTTTCCTGATATGTATTATACATTTGTGTTTAACTGCCCTCACCTTCTGTCCTCCCCAGCTCAAGCCTCCCTGGGCAAAGGAAATACATCTACCTAGATTTCTCCCCTTCCCATAGGACTGCTTCTACCCATGTTCTACTGCAGGCAAAAAAAGTAGCTCAAGTCAAATCCACACTAGTCTTTTTTAACATGTTTGTGTATCCACTCAGGTCTTTACGAACTCTGAATAATTAAACTATTTCTATGATTCCATAATAGCACATTCTTGTAAAGTGCGTTAGTTATCAAATTTTTGGACACTATGAGTTGGTTCAGATTTAATTGCTCTGAACAGGAGTATGCCACAGGTTCAAGCAGCCTCCTCCACTCATAAGCTCCAGTTCCTTCTTTGTCCTCCTCGTTTATCGTTTGCTATTACATTCAAGCCTCACTATAGTTTGTTTGAAGCAACTTCCAATCCCAAACTTGCATATAATGTCAAACTATTGTTTGCTTGAACAAGACAAGGAGGAAAGGAATTGGGATTACATGAAAGATGAGGGACAGAGAAAAAGGAGTGTTGGAATGAGAGTCAGACAGACGAGCAGTAGGTGTCCTGAGGCATCTCTCTGGGGCAAAAAACCCCGAGAGCTCTCTTTATTGAATATTGACAAGCATTGCCACGGTGTGCTAGTGGCTGATTGGTTGATACGAAGACAAAGAGACTCATCTTTTATTGGATAGTATAATTACAAGGAGGGATTATATAAGTATATTAATCTTCAATACATCAAAGGCTAAGAAAGAGCTAGAGCTCAGACAGTTAGGACAGCTCCTTATCAAATTAAAAACTAGAGATTGATTATAGCATGACTTAAAGCAATTACTAATGATTTATCATAACATAAAGAATATAATTGGGAATAGGTAAACATGAACTTCTTGAACTGAGGACCATGAGGAGGGATCTTTGGTATGTGGCCTTGATGCCTTATACACTTTGTAACAAGAAGAGAAAAAGATTATAAACAAGCGAGGGGATTATAATTGAGACTTCCCAGAATGCAAGGGGAAAGAAGCAAGGCTTCGCTTTATACAACAGTTATGCATAGAAAACTTCCATTCAAAGGAGCTTGTTTGAAGTTTTGAGCAGGTCTGAGCTGACCCCATGTAAAAGCAAAATATGATTGGTTCCCTAGGCCTCTGGGATTCAATGCAATCTTGAGTGTATGCCACATTTATTATTATGTAGAATGCTCAAATTTGTTCAATAAAAAACTAAGTGAAATAAGTTCACTGTTGCAATAAATTAATTAAACTGTTCTTTTAAAGTAATTTTGGGTTAAGAGTACCTAAAATAAAATAAATTATGTGAGACAGCATGAGTTTGAACAACTGCGAAAGGAAGTGGAAGACAGGAGTGCCTGGCGTGCTCTGGTCCATGGGGTCACGAAGAGTCGGACACAACTAAACGACTAAACAACAACAACAACCTTTCTAATGGCAGATGGTCAGTTAACAGCTTACCTGCTTGTTGGCTTTCAACACAGCCCTTAGGGTCGCTATCTGCTCTCGTTTCGTACTCAGCAGGGACTTCAATTTCAGTATTTCTTCCATTAAGGCCTCCTTGTCCTTATCGATCATAGGTACTAGTTCACGGGCTGCTGCACGCTGCCGGGACAGCTGCAGCGACCGATCTACAGCCTTCTGCAAGTGCTTGATTGGTCCCTTATTATGGCATTCAGGTTGTAAATATTCATCGGTTCTTTGCGAATGTCACTAGTGTCGGAAACTGGGGAGGAAGGGGGGGCTGTGATGACTGGAGAAATTGTGGGTGTCTTTGTTGGACTTTGCTCTTTGTTGGCTTCTGCACTCTCCCTTGAATCTGCTCAGTCGGTGTCCTCACTTCTATTGGAGATGCCATCCCTCTCCTAGCCAGCCGTGGGGACAGAAGCCCCTTGGATCATCAGGTCCCTTGAGGCTCCCACTTCTAGTAACTCTGCTTTGCCTGTAATAATCTAGCATAACCCTATTAGGAGTTTCGTTGTTACACAAACACACATGGTGATAGAGCTGAGCCAGCTCCTCGCTGAAAGTCACCAGCTCATCCTGGGCTGTGTTGAGTGTATTGTGGTTCTCATTTGCAACACCTGTAATTCTTTGCAAGTCTTTTTCCATCTGCATCATTTTCTCGTGGCTATCCTTAGTTGACTTTTCCAGGTTTGTCACCTGCTCATCATATATCTGGATCCTGCTCTCATACTTCGCCTTTTCTTCGGTGTAGTTTTCAACACATTTATTGTATTTCTCCTTCAAGGCCTTTATTTCAGCTTTGAGGTCAATCACCTCCGTGACAGCTACTTTGTATTTGCACTCTAGAATCTCCAAGCCATTGATGTCCACTTCATAGTCATGGGTTTCTTCCCCAGAATCCCGGCCTTTCTCAAAATCTAGCTCCTTCAATTCTTTGTTGCTTTGTAAACCCCTCATAGCGTTGACGTGCTCAGTGAGCCTGTGGACCCGTTCATGTTGCTCAGTAAGTGCCCCTTTGTGTGTTCCAGCTGGGTCTGTGACTCCTGAAGATTAGCCAGGAGAATAGCTTTCTCGCGCTCCACCTGCAATAACCCAGTGAGAAAAATATTAATGTCTCAAAAAAGAACCTGGGTGCAAAATAACTGCTCAGTACCCATCGGTATCTTTAAAGACTAAGCCTAGGAACTGGCACCTCAGCTACTGCTGAGGTCAGAAAGTTCCTCCTCCTAAGAAATCACACAGTATCTTAAATTTTGCAAGAAAGTTGCAATTTATTTATTTAAGGCATTGTATGATGCCCTTCATAAAAATACATCCTAGGTCAGTTCACAATAAAAAAATACACTAAAATAATAGTGTATTTAAAATTCGGTGTATCTGAAGAAAGTGTGCATGCACACGAAAGCTCATACCAAGAACTAACTTAGTTGGTCTTTAAGGTGCTACTGGAAGGAATTTTTTGTTTTGACTAAAATAATAGCGCAACAAAAAAGCACAAGTTTAAAAAACAAGAAAAGCACCTTCCAGATACATCACAACTTCAAAGTCAATTGAGACAGCAAAATAGATGACTTCGCTTCAGTGCTTAAAATATAGCTTCCTTGTCCATCAGACCTAAAAAATAATTTCATTTAAAATGCCAGAGAAACAATGTCTTAACCTGTACCTTTGCTGGTTATTATGGGTGGTGATGGTGGTTGTCTGGTTCCTGTATTTATAAAGCAATTGGTATTGTGCTAGCAAAAGTAAATAAACAATTCCTTCTCATGTTCTGTGTTCATGGGCCCAGTTAAGGCATCATATTAAACTATAGCTACGTGAGCAAGCAGCACTGCTGGCGCACACTACTCAAAAGCTGCCACAATGCTCCTCTCTCACTCTTGCTGCAGTTGCACCATGCACAAAATAAGCAAGAATCTGGCTTATGTTGTCTGAATCCAGGCTTGTGGTTTATATCCTCCTTATTAACTGCTTCCAGTTTCTTGAGCCCAGATTCGGATGACACAACATGTTGGCCTGCAGCTGGCTTTGTCCACCAGAAAGGGAGCAGCATGAGACCCTTTCTGGGCAGTGTGCATTTGCATGCTGCTCGTTCATGTGAAACCATAAGTTTGTTTCCAATTATGGTTTAATGGGGCATGCAAATAAGCCAATATTTGTGTCACCAGTCATAGGCAACAATATTTTCCACCAAACCTGGATAATTTTAGTTGAGATATGCATACCATTCCAAATACTTTAGATATTTTTAATAGCAATTTGAGGGGGAAATGCCATTAGACTAGCAGTGTATTATTTTTTTAAAAAAAAAGAAAAGAACAGCAGCAAATGAGCTCTATCAAGTGTGAGTGGTGCAACTTGTTTGATGAGATGTAATAAAACCAAAACCTAATTAGTTTAGTAGATGGTGGCCATTATTATTTCAAACCCCATGACACATAAAGGATAGTAATTTATGGAAATGTTAGGTGGATATATAATTAGGAAGAAAGATAATTAGGAACAGTGTTCCTGGCTCTAAGCAATAATCTTGATAGGTAATACATCTGTATTACTGTTGTCATACACAAGCTATATAGGCCTTGTACTGACAAACAATCTACTATAAAATAGTAATCTATCTTGTTCCATGCCACCCCCAATCTCAAAGTTATTTGGATGCTCTGTTGGCTATCACCTTATGAGGAAGTTAAAGGTAAAGGTAAGGTACCCCTGACCATTAGGTTCAGTCGCGGACGACTCTGGGGTTGTGGCGCACATCTCGCTCTATAGGATGAGGGAGCTGGCGTTTGTCCACAGACAGCTTCCGGGTCATGTGGCCAGCATGACTAAGCCGCTTCTGGCAAACCAGAGCAGCACACGGAAACGCCATTTACCTTCCCGCTGGAGCGGTACCAATTTTATCTACTTGCACTTTGACATGCTTTTGAACTGCTAGTGAGCTAACCCCGCCACAGGGATTCGAACCACCGACCTTCTGGTCGGCAAGCCCTAGGCTCTGTGGTTTAGACCATAGCGCCACCCGCATCCCTTGAGGAAGTTAGCCTTGCTTAATTAGCTAATTCCAGAGGAATTAAGTCTAGCTTAATTAGCTATTACAGAAATTAGGTGTCCAACACACAGCTTAATACACACAGGTGTGTCCTAATACAAATACCAGTAACTCTAATACACACTGGTCTGGCTGGTCTAGCTATTTCCCAGTTGTAACACTGGAAATTTAAGAGTGTCTAGCACCCATAAACTTATAACTTGAAACTCATCTGCTTCTATGGAAAAATAATTTAAACTGTATGTAAAAAAGCAAACTTTATCCTAACTCTATAAATATATGTATCTGCAATGTTGGGCTATAAGTAGGTGGAATGGAGGGACAGGATTGCACAGGAGAAGAATCCAAGGAGGCTGCCTGAGGATCAGGATAATTAAAGGAAGTAAGGAATTGTATGCACATAGGAGGAAACAGTGAGGGACGCGGGTGGCGCTGTGGGTAAAAACCTCAGCGCCTAGGACTTGCCGATCGCATGGTCGGCGGTTCGAATCCCCACGGCGGGGTGAGCTCCCGTCGTTCGGTCCCAGCTCCTGCCCACCTAGCAGTTCGAAAGCACAATTAAGTGCAAGTAGATAAATAGGTACCGCTTTCTAGCGGGAAGGTAAACGGCGTTCCGTGTGCTGCTCTGGTGCCGGTTCGCCGGAGCAGCTTCGTCACGCTGG